ACATAACAACAACAACAACATTCTGTCAATTTTTGGAGTCTTGTTTTTAGTCAATTCCTTCAGTGAAGCTTGGGTTTCTTTTTATATCGTCTGTTCTTTTTTGCTATGGAAACTGTATTCTGTCCATTTTCTTTTGGTATTTCCTACAGGACAGGCTGTATAACAAAGGTGATTTGTAAATCTTCCTCTATCATAATGTCACATTCTTATTCATTGAGTACAGCTTTTTTAATAATTTCCTTACCATACAGATTGAATAGATATGGAGAAAGGCTACAACCTTGACACACACTTACATTTTAAACCATATAGAGTTCCTCGCTTTGTTCACACAACAACCTCTTGGGCTAAATACATACTTAGCACATGAATACAATTAAGTGTTCTGGTATTCCTATTCTTCTTAATGTTAGCCTTAGTTTGTAATGATCCACACAGTCACATGCCTTTACATGACTATAAAGTCAGTAAAGCACAAAGAGACATTCTTCTGGCATTCTTTGCTTTTCGTTAGGAACTATCTGACATCAGCAACAATATCTCCGGTGCCACGGCTTCTTCTAAATTGAGCGTGAATAGAATTTCTCTATGTACTGTTCTAGTCATATCTGAATGATCTTCCAACAGTTATTTTCCTTCTATGTGGTATTAATGACAATGTTCAATAAATTCCACATTTTGTTAGATTACCTTTCTTGGGAATGGGAACAAATATGGATCTTTTCTAGTCAGTTAGCCAGGCAGCTGCCCTCTAAATTTCTTGTGATAACAACCTTGGATGCTGAAGACTTGAAGTACAGTCTGCAGAAGGTTAAGTATTGTTGCTTTCAATATAGATTGCATCTCAACATCAAGAAAACAAAAATTTTCACCACTGGACTAATAAACAGCATTGTGATAGATGGATAAAAGACAGAAACTGAAAACAACTTTGTGTACCAGCTGTCAGGAATTTAGGGGATGTATTGCATTGGGGAAATCTATAGTCAAGTACATCTCCAAATTATTGAGGGACAATGATACCAGTTTGAGGACTAAGGTGTGCCTGACTCAGGCCATAGTCTTTCAGTCTTTCCAGTTCACTTGCTATGCATCTTAGCGCTGGACAATGACTAAGAAGGATGGCAGAATAATTGATGCCTTTGGACTGTGTTGCTGGAGAAGAATGTTGGAGATCTCATGGAATGCAAAAAACCAAAACAAAAACAAAACAGATAAGTCTTGGAGAAAATGTAGCCAGAGTGTTCCTTGTAGGCAAAGATGATAAATCTTAGTCTCAACTATTTTGAGCATGTTGCTAGGAGAGGTTATTCCTTGAACAGGGACATTTTATTTAGGAAAGTGGAGGGATGCCAAAGGAAAGGAATACCCTAAACCAGGTGGATTGACACAGTGATTGCAGCATTGGGCTGTGTGTCAGATATTGTGAGGATAGCACAGGCTAGGATAGTGTTTCAGATCTGTTGTTCACAGTGAGTTGTACGTAATGCCACCTAACAACATCATCGTACAGTATTTTGCCTATGATACCTTTCACTATTGTGCTGTAAAGTTTTAATATTGTCTTCCATTCTTTCAAATTGAGTAATGGCAAGCATGTTGTTCTGTTCTAGTTTTCTAACTCCAAATACTTGCCAATTTTCCTACAAAACATTGCTTTCGCAAAGGGTCTTTTTCTATCTTCTGTTTAGCTCATTTGTCATTACTTCCATTTACTTTGATACAGTAAATTCAAGAGCAAGTTTCAGAATTTCTTCTTATAGTCATCTTGGACTTTCTTTCCTGATATTTTTAATGACCTTTTGTGTTCAGCACGTTTAATGCCTTTGATCCAATCTCATAATTAATTTGGGTTTCATTTATTAGTGTTGAGTGTGTCAAATCTATTTTTGAAATGGTCTCTAAATTTATGTCAGATACACTCAAGATAATAATTTGGCTTTTGTGGATTTGTTATCAATCTCTACTGCTTCTACTTGAAATTATAAGAGCACTTTATGCTTTGTTCCACAGTGGGTCTCTGGTCTGTTCTAACTCTTTGTTCAGATGTACTGTGTTGGCTTGTAGTGATGCTGGAGGCTATGATACTATTATTTCAAGTATTAGCAAGGTCACCCATGACAGACAGTTTTTATAGAGCTTCCAATCTCAAATGGACTAGAAAGGAAAACCTGGAGACATAATTCTAAAAAATAAAAAATACATTAGCCAGTGAAGACATTCTTAATTATTGGAGAGCACTGATAGAGACAGCTCCAAAAGTTCCCTGGGTTGGAAGGTTTTCAGAGTAAGACTGCGGAGAAGCTTCCTCCCTAACATACAATTGACTTTAAGAAGTAATGTTTTCAGGTCAGTATGATCAGGTGTGTGTGGGGGGTATTCCAATTATCCTGAGTCAATTTCACTGTCTCTGACACCTCTACCCTCATTATCCCAGTCACTGTGTCAATCAACTTTATCTGGAATCTTCCTCTCTCTTTCTCTCTGTCCCTCCACCCTTCCTAACATGATGTCCCTATCCAAGGACTGGTTCTCTCTTTAAACATGTTCAAAGTATGTCAGATGAAGCCTCAGAATCCTTTCCTCCAAGGAGCAACCTGACTTAACCCTCTCTAGGACAAACCTGTTAATATCACATGCAAGCAAGATTCTGCCCATAATTATAAAAATGATTGGAAAAACACATCAACAGAGAACTGTCAGATGTGGGTTTAGTAGAGGCTGTGATACTAGGGATATTATAGCTAATGTTAGATGGATCTTGGCTGAAAGCAGAGAGTACCAGAGGAATGTCTGTTTCATTGACTATGCAAAGGTGTTTGATTGTGTGGATCACAGAAAACTGGCTGACTCTGAGAAGGATGGGAATCCCAAAACATTCGATTGTGCTTATGCGAAACCTATACTTGGACCAGAAGGAAGTTGTCAGAACAGAGCAAGAAGACACTGCACGTTTAAAAATTAGGAAAGGTGTAGCATGATGTCCCTCTCCAAAGACTGGTCACTCCTTTCAATATGTCCAAAGTATGTCAGACGAAGCTTCAGAATCCTTGCCTCCAAGGAGCAGCCTAGTTTCACCCTCTCCAAGATGAACGTATTTGTTCTCCTAGCAGTCCATGGTATATTCAATACTGTTCTCCAGCACCACAGCTCAAAGGCATCAATTCTCCTTCTTGTCCAGCTTTCTGATGCATAGCAAGTAACTGCAAATATCATGGCCTGCATCTGGCATACCTTACTCTCCAGACTGACATCATTGCTCATCAGTACAGAGGTCTCTGATAGCGGAATGCAATTTGTTTTTTTAACTTCCTGGCTGCTGGTACCAAGTGTTGGAGACTAAAAATTACTATTGAGTAAACCAAAACATATTGAACAAATGTTTGGTTTTTATTTACTAACTTGTAAAATGAGCTAACTAAAATTTTTAGTCATTTTACACTTGAAAATGTTATCATAAAGTAAGCAGAGTTTTGTTTCTTATACTATTGTTGTTGTTGTTGTTTGGTGCCATCGAATAGTAGACGGCTCATAGCGACCCGATGAACGAACGGCCTGAGCACTCTTCTACTATTAGATGTATTAAATTGAATGGAGGGGGAAAAAAGACAAAAGTATTTAAACCAGATCTTTGTTCAAGTTACTCTTTTAAACTCACTTCTAAAGAGAGATCACTAGCAGTAAAGAAAACAACAGTTACTTCTTTTAAATTATTTTAATTTTCATAATTTTCTAACACATGGTGTTAGAAAAACAAATTTTGGCACCATGACTTACAACTTCTTTCAAGTGTAATTTTTAAATTAAAAACAGTAGCTACAGTGAGAGTCTTAAACCTAATTCAGAGAAATGATGAACAATCAAGGTGACAAATGCTTTTTGATGAAGAGTATTTAAAAAGTGAGGAAAAGGGAAGATAATAAAGGTAGTAAGAAGGATAAAGCAGATTTTATAGGGGAGAGGAGAAAAGTGAATCACCTACTCACTCTATAAAAGGCTATGTGAGAGACAAAGAGCAAAAAGGAAGGAAGAGGCTCAACAATTTAATATTCCTGATATAAAATTCAAGTACTTAAAAAGTTAACAAAAAATAGTAAAACACACTATTTCTCTCAATGAAATTTTTCTCACTATCTTCTAGGGTTACAAAAAAAAATATTGCTTTGGTAATGGACTACTTGGGGATTCGAAACAGATAATTTAAGAAATGGTAGAAGCTTGTAAACTTTCCTACATCTAGTGTCTACTTAAAATAATCTAGTTTGAAATATTCACTGGAAGGAAATAAAGGGTTTGGTTCCAAATATAAATGTTAAGAAAAAAACCTCAACTTTCTATAAAAATGTTTCACCTAAAAATGTTTCCTCAATTGTGTTCCATAAGGGATTGTGCTTCCCAATTTGTATTTAAAACATATTTGTAATGTTTGTTCTTTGTATTTCCTCAGTAACTATTGTAAAAGATCCCTGCACAAGTGGCCAAGCAGGTATTTGTAATTAATTGCATATAAATTTAGTTAGCATCCCAGATTTCCTTGATTTAAAATACTGCCAATTTTCATTTATATCTATTTTCTTTTGGATTCCCTCAACATAATAAATAAAATTATTCCCTGACTTTTCTTAAATAAGGAAACAGTATTATCTTCATTTGTCACTTGTACATTTGTACCTGAAATAATTCATCAAATGAAACACAATTTTTTTTTTTACACGGCCATTATTCTCAGAGTGACAATAATGCATAGAAATAAATATCTTCTTTGATTTTTTTTCCTTGCTTTCCTTCTTCAATCTGTGTTTTAAGGCTCAGAGCAGATATTAAGAAACATCAGACATTTTTTTTAAACAAAAGAAAGTCTTTCAAATATCTGACCCAAAATGAAGTTCTGTTGAAGTTAATGAAATAGTCTTCTCATCTTCCCAAACACAGCTTCAAAGGCATGCGCATGTCAGGTGTACATTCCAGAGACCAAGTCCAAGTCAATGAAAAATAAATACTCAGGGATCTATAAACGACACTGCAATGTATCTCGTTCCATTTTTAACAGGAAGTCCTTCGTGGAGATGTGTGAGTCTTCCTGGATGCATGAAGCTCCAGCCTTTGCGTGGTGACTCAATGGAGCAATTATACCTTAGAAACTTGCACCCACCACCCTAAAAGATAACAAATAAACACAGCAGTTTATTATTGACAATTTCTAGTTAGTGGCAAAATTCATATTATGCCATCTAAATGGAACCTTTAAAACACTGAGGCTATTATTGTATAGTGACACATTTCTTTTCCAAAGTATCTACAAGAAGAGTAATAAGTACCTGAAAATCTTCTCCCACATTATTGAGTGCAATGTTGATGGTGAATGTGGAAGCATCATGGTGAGGCCGAAGAGAACGCTGCCTCTCAGGTGAGTATTTCACCACAAAATTCAACAGGGCAAATCCCTAAAAAAGCAAAAGAGTCTGTGATTTTTGTTTTGTTTTGTTTTTGCTAATTAGTAAAACAGAGAAAAGTATATTTGTATAACAACTGTGAGGGTGAGTAGTATTAAAGGATAACTACCTTCGTATAATATCCTGCAAAAACCTTCAGTGTGACAGGTGCAATAAACTCCCGGATAAAATGGAGCCAGACATTCTCCAAATCAATTTGCTTCATATGAATATCATCGGTTGGGACATTTTCATAACCACCAGATATACGGCTATCCTAGAAGTAGCATTAACAGCATCATAAAGTATAGTCCACATATAATTCCAATTCTTTTTCTATATTTCAGCCACAATATCCTAACATCCAATAAAAGTGCAGTTGTTCAATTGTAGCATACTAAGTTAATTGCAAAACTATCAATGTAACATGGTTAACAGGGCTTTGCAAATTTGTCAGTGCTACAGGAAAATACTGCAGTCAACAGATTATTTTCCCACTTATATTTCTGCATAAGTGGTGTTTGAATGGAAAGTAAATAAAACTGACTTCTTAAGCCTTGCTCTCTCCTTAAAAGTGATATTCCCGCTTTTTACAACTGTCCTTCACACTCTCTCAGTTGCAGTGTGTGCATAGATTCTAATTATCTGGCTCTTGGATTATTTTCCACTGAAAACAAGCCTTCCCTTCTCTGTCATTTATTTCCAGTCAATAGCACCGAAAGTTCTTCAATGATTACTTTTTATAACTTTATAACCCGGGGATTTCAACTTCTCCCTCCTCACACTTTGTACTTTGTGCTTTCTGATCATCTAGCGAGCAAGAGCCTTAACTGAGCAGAGGCGGTAATTATCCAGGTGATTCAGTTAAAACCTTTTGTTCTTAAGGAGCTAGCATCTTTGGGTTTATCAGAAGAAAGGTACCAATAATACAAACTTCCTTCAAGTGTTTGACACAGAATGTAAATACAAAACTGAATTACATTTCTTCTTGTGCTTATATATATACAATAGTTCTGGCATTCAGGCAGACAAGGTCTTTCTTATTTTATAATAGCTAAATAAAGAACAAACAAACTAAAAAGTAAGCTTGGAGAAAAATGGTATCACACAGTAAAAATATATTTTACTTTACAGTCTCCAACCAAAGCTAAGTAACTACCCAGTTTAATCAAATGTACTGATGATAAATCAAAGCCTAGTTTGATTAAATTACTTTCTGGATATTAAACAACTAGCTAATGGTAGCACTAGATAAAAATCAGTTCATGGCCTCTGAGATCACCATTTTAGATCCAGGACAGAGGATGCTGGAAAGAACGACTGTTCTGTGGATCCTGATTTATCTATAAGGCACATACACTCTTACATGTGGAAACTGCAACTTACATGATGTTTCCCCCCAGACCACTGGCCATAATGTTCCATTTCTTCCACCAATTCATCGCAGGCTTTTTCAGAAAAGATGGGAAACCAAAAGACATCTGGACAAGGCTATAAAACACAGCATCACCATTAAAAGAAGAAAATTCTGCACCTTCAACAAATGGCATTTTAAAAGCAAGAGGAGTAGTCAAACATTATCTCATTTAGAATGTTTGTTTGGTTTTTTTTGTTTTGTTTTGTTTTTTTACATTTGCCCAACATTATCAAATACATGTGTTACAAACAATACTGGTTAGAAGGCTTTCCTTGTTCCTTTCTCTTTTCATAGCTTAACATGTGGAATTCAAGATGTTAATTCAATTTTCAGTCACAATCAGTCAGAATGTGATGTGGTCATAAACACCAAAGTGCATGGTTAGCGTTCATTCTGTCCTTATTTTGTATTTGTCTGTGTTTTAACTGGTGCTTCACTCAGTAATTTGGCTTACACTTTGAAATGTTTTTGTTATGTGCCATAGAGTCGAACACCCATCAAAGAATGAGACTATGACTTGTGATTGGAATAATTATTTTATACAGTGCACACAAACAAATATAAGTAACCTTAAGTCTTAATAAGTATAAAACACTTTAAAAATGCATAAAATAAATGTTAAGTGATTAGTAAACATGACATGGTTTAACAGACAATATCTTTTCTTTGTCACGGTAGGCTTTAAGAACTGATTCTCTGACCACAATTGAATGGATTGAGTTATTATGATACATTCACATGAGGGAATACTATGCAGCATGCAGGAATAATGATCACTACCTAACTTGGGAAGGACTGGAGAGCATTATGCTAAGTGAACCAACTCAGTCCCATAAAGACAAATATTATATAAGATCATTACTGTAGAAATAGATAACTAGTAAAATGTGTATGAGAATATAAGGGGAAGGGGGGAGCAGAGGGGTGAGGATGAGGGGTGGTAATGACAGGATTGTATAATTTGATAGGTAAAGGGAGAGGAGGGTTAAAGAAATGGGCAAGATTTAATGTGAAGAACAATGTATAAGAACTTTGTAAATAAACCGGTTTAAGAGAAAATGTAAAAAAACCCCAAATATATATATATATAAGAACTGATTCTCTGAACTGATTCCACATTCTCTGAAATAAGGTATTGGCAACAGTTATAGCCATTATTCCACTACGGAGATTGTCTTTTAAAAGATTTCACTGAGAAACTACTCTTTAAACTTAATATCTATCAAAGATAAGCTTCACTGAAAGTTATCTTTATTAATGATCCTTTTTAGTGGTTCCAAAGTGTTTTAACACCTTAACAGTCTGACATGATCTTAAAATAAATGTTGGATTTCCATCACATTCTATATTTTCATAAAGGCTATTTTCTCCATTTTCAAAGTGTCTCACTTAATGTACTACGGCATTACTATGTCTCTATGGAAAAAGTAGCAATAATATTCAACATCTCATAATAATCATTAATACAAACCTGTTCAACCAAATTTTCAGTGAAAATCTTGGAATAATCAGGGTTTATATACTTTTCCTTCCAGTCCTACAACAATAAATACATTTCACAAATTAAAGCAAATACATTTTTTAATAAACCATTTACTGAAAAATACGAAGCATATGCATTTTAGAAAACTACTCACGTAATAAATGCTTGCACATAAGGAAGAAAAAGGAATTTGCAAAAAAACACAGTTTATGCTTCAGTCTTTGTCAGTCTTTGTGTGCTCATATCATTCTATCAAACACGAATTTCCTATTCAAGAAGTTTGATACTTTTGGTTTTTAAAGGAGGACTAATCATCTAGTGATCAGCTTTGTATGTTGTTTTTCTATGTACACACACGTGTGTGTAAAAGTGAAAAACAAGCAACAAAATCTGACCAATAAATATTTGGAAAAGGTAACCAAATGTTAACTAACATCAGTGTTGAGTCAGAACCAACTCACAGCTTACAGTCCAGTGGGATTTCAGAGCCAGTAAACTGCACAGGCACAAAAATCCATCTTTCTCCTGCGGAGCATCTGGTGGACGTGAACTGTGTACCTTTGGGTTGGTAGCACAATTCCTTGCCACCATCGTTATTGTTGCCACCAGCACTGCCTTATTAATTAATAAATAAGGTCTTATTTAGACTTGTATAGTGAAGTTCTCCAAATTGTTTTATTTTTAAAATTAATTTCAAGGAATAAAAATGGGTTTACTAACTTTTGAAAGTTAAAGAAATTAAAGGGTCTTTTATATAGTAAAAGATCCTTTTCATAAACATGATTCTCCTCAATGACGATTCTCTTGGAAAGAAATCACATCCAAAGATAAATTAATTTTTCAACCTGAACAAAGGAATCATTTTTATAGATCAGTGTTTTATTTAAAAGTCTAGCATTTAAAAAAATAAATATAAACTAATGCAATTATCCAAAAAGAGTATTTCCTTAAATATACAAGATTAGGTCATGTTAAAAAATTATTTTTAAAATGTCAACATAGAGACCCAGCAAGAGAAACAACATAATATATATAAAAATACGTGTACCCAAAATTTGTCTGAAGCATATTTTTGAAGTCAAATTTCAGAAAAGTCTTGATAATTTACTTACACACATTGTTAGTATTCTTTATTGCTGCTTAAATGTAGCACAGACATTCCTTACATGGCTAAGCAAAACTACTTTCAAATTTTTCCACTATATTTTATTTATCTAGCACGTGGGAGAAGGATAGGCAACCTCCCATACAATTAACTGCCTCTGAAAATCTGCTGGAGGGTCAGCTACGGGTTGGTTCCGACTGAATCGCACACAATATCATCATATTAATAAGGATTCAATTACTACAATATTTCATTATTTTCTCCAATATTTACTAATTCTTTGGAAAGAGGAGTGGCATCCACTTCCATAATAGCTTGCCTCCGGAAACCCTATGAACCTGGAGAGAGGATGAGAGACACTCAAGCGTCGAGGACTCTCCTTCACTGGGTCGCTATGAGTCGCCTGCAACTCAACGGCACTTAACAACAAAACAGTATTTACTAAGTCTGCTGTTAGGGACCTCTCTAAAGTACTCAGGAGCAACGGTGTCTCTCTGGAGACTAAGGTGCGCCTGATACAGGCCATAGTATTTGCAATTGCTTGTGATGCATCAGAGAGTTGGACAATGACTAGGGAGGACAGAAGGAGAGTGGATGCTTTTGAGCTGTAGTGCTGGAGAAGAGTACTGAATGTACCCTGGACTGCCAGGAAAACAAACAGATTCATCTTGGAGAGGATTAAACCAAGCTACTCCTTGGAGGCAAGGATTCT